GGGGAGGGGAGGGGAGGTGCGCGTGCGTGGGTGTGCGATTCCTGGGCTTCCCGCCCTGGCTAACAGGTCTAGGCGGGGAGGAAGAGCTACTTCCGCATCCTCACCTAGTTTTTGTCCCAGCTGACCCGCGCGTGGGCGGGATGGCTACTTCTTGAGGAATTTTCTAATTATTTCTCCTGGAAAATAAATCTCACCGGGCTGATACTCAGGAAGTGGCTGCAGAGGCTGTAACCTGGCTGGGGATGCGGTCGTGGCAGTCTCCTACATCTACTCTATCCCTGCCTTGCAATAGGCAGCAGCTTCTGGAAGGGGCGGTGCGGGGGGAGGGGGGGGCGAAGAGGGCGGGGGGAGGTTGGGGAATGTCTGGCGTGTGTGGCTTTGAAAAGCGTTCCACCTGCTTTACTCCTGTGAGGCTTGGGAGGAGACCTCAAAGCGCCAGCTTTCCGCCTTTCCCTGAAGCGGATTGTCATGAACTTGGCCTAAAGCTGGATACTGGGGACGAACCCGGAGTGTAAAGCGCAGAGGCTTTAACACCTGAAATGCCTAGAAATCCTGTTGAGAGTCCCAAATCAAGCACCTCCTTGACGGGCTATACGGTATATCCTAGTCTGATATCCGATAACTGCTGTTATGTGAGGCAAACGATCAAACCTGTAACTCTTGAAGCCGTAGTCTTGAAAAACCACGTTAAATTGCTTTTAAAGACCCCACTTCCAGGGGAAAACCCTCAATTTTGTTAGAAACGAACCTATTGTACGTCACAGACGAATATATTACATGTTAACTGCTAGAGACCGTGGGAGTCTGAGCTAAGGCTAGAGTGTAATTTTCTGGGCATGTGGTAAAGACAAAACTTCTAGGAAAAATCTCTTGGGAGGGCACAAACCAAAGTAGCTTCAGGGGGCTGAGTGTTGAACACAGCTGGGAATAGAATGCCTTCCTAGGGTGCCGGGTTGGGGGGTGAGTCGTAGGGCTTTACCTGGACATCAATGGGTTTCTAGCTCTTAATCACTTCCAGGCTTATGAATCTGAAATTGAGACTTCTTCTGGCCCACCTAGTAGCTTCCTATTCCAAAAAATAGAATTTTTAAGCAGCTTTGTCAGAGTTCAACATCCTTCTGCCTTCCTATGAGAAGCTGTTGCATTGTCTCCTAACCATTATCACACTACTTGTGAGGCTGAGTGTCAGGATGCATACGAATCACAAATTACGTGGAGAAACCTTGTCTGCTACTCCAGTTCATTGTCGTAAGGAGATGACTTGTTCATTTTAATGTATTAAAATAGCCAATGTTCTTAACTTGTTAGGCTAGTCTGACATGAATGCTGGATCCAGTCATGCCCTGTAATGTATTCTGCATGATGGAAATAATTATCCATTGTCCACAGCATTTATAAGTAGGAGGGAAATATTAAAGCCCTTGATTGACTGATTATACCTGTTGCTTTAGTGGCCTAGTTGGAAGATCCTGTTGGAATGAGCCCTCTAAGTATGTAAACTAACCTGGAGGTATAGTTTCAGTTAAGAACTTAATGTGTTCGTGTATTATCTAAGAAAGCCCTTCCTCCTGAGTTCTCGTCTTGCTCTTTGCCTGTCCGATCTCCAACTGGAGGCTCTTCTGCCATGTGAATTATTTTTTGGAGTTCTTTAGTCCTTGGCAAAGGGTACTTCCTATTAACAAGGGCACACCTGTTTTCAGATGACTATATACCTCACCTTTGAGAAATTGCTTTCTTTGTGGTGAAGCTTTTTCTGGGTGGGAAAAGAAAATTAGTCTGTGCCAGACACTTTGAGGGTGATGTCAAGGTGAGTCAGCCTCACCTACTCTCCCGGAAAGCTGGAGCTGATCCATGGGTGATGTTGTCACAAACAGCATATATGTGACAAATTACGGTCTTGCGGGTGGGAGACCTGGCTGAATTTGTCCCAGAAAGACCGGCGAACGTGTGCAACTATGGGTAGTACAATTTGATAGATAATTGCGGAAAATAGTCTGACTTTGAAGTAAAGGACCTCTCAGGCTAAATAATGAAACTTTTTAAGAATAACTCTGTATAGGAGGGTTATTCTGAATGGAAAAACTTCGACTGATAGAGAAGTGTTTTTCAGTATGTTGCTTTGACTTTTTTTTTAGCCAGCAGAGTGACTAGGAAATCGCCAGAAACCAGCAATTCGTTGACTGAAACCAGCATCCTCAAATAACTTTCTTTTTGATCTTTAATGGATAGGTGGTGTCAGAAGTGGATGTTGGGGTGCTGCTAGCTTACCGGTGAAGCCACCCTGTGTGTTACTAGTGGTTTTGTCCTGTCCTTTATGCATCGGGTAGTGTGGGTTTCTCCCAAGTATCTGGAAGACCTCCGGAGCCTCCCGCTTCCTCTACCCACTGTTGGAGGCACTAACGATGCCTCTTTAGGATCCCAGATGCCATTTCAAAAAAGCAGTGATGGTAGAGACGTGTTAGCGGATGCTGGTAGTGCTCCTTTGTTGGCCGTGGACTCTTCTGAACACTGCCTGGTGCTTGCTCACTCCTGAGGGTGCCTAGGTTTCTGTCAAAGGTTCCTGGTGCCTGAGAATGCTCCCCCTCCCACCCCGACCTAGGGGTGGTCCTTCAACCAGCTGGAGTGTAATCACTGTAGTTTCCAATCCCCCAACCTTCGGAATGGCACTGCCCAATATGCTGGCCCATACTCTTCCAGAGCTGTGCAGGTTGAGCCAAAGTCCACTGCATGAACTTCACGGAGTATCCCACTCCTGCTGGCCTTCTTTCCCTCTCCTCCTCTTCCCTGGGAGCACTGCCTAACGCATCACCTGAACCGGAATTTTCATTTCAGGATCTGATCGTGGGAACCCTGCAGCTTGGCTGCGTCCATGGGGGAGAAACTCCAGGGCTCTAGCCCCTCAGGGTCTTGTGAAGCTGAGCTGTCCACGGAGGCCATTAGCAGCTCCTGCCTCCGTCCTTGCCTGACCCTTTGCGTCGCCTTCTGCTACTGGTCGTCCCTAGCTCCCACTCTTTCCTGTCTGCTCCCCTTCCTCAGATGGGCCTGTAAACGCAGTGGGCTCTTGTCAGCTCTGCTGTGAGCATCAAAGTTCCGGAGTTCGCATGCAAACTGTTCCCCAGGGCACCTGGCATGCACTGGTACGCAGGGCAGTGAGCGAGCTTGCCCTGCCCCGCCTCCCCTGTCCCTGATTCTTGTCGTGTGTCCTCTTCCCAGTTAGATGGAGTGCCTGGAGAGCACAGGCCGTAGCAAATGTGGTTTTGGTACCTCCAGTGTTCAGCACTGTGCATTATACTTAAGAGCTGAATTGAGAGCTTGTTCCCTGGATCCCCACCCCCACCGAGGTCCCTATGCCCCCAGTTCTGCTGGAACTTCTATGTAGCCCTTTGCTGACCCCAACTCTCCCCACTCCGGTCTCTTGGGGAAGCTGAGATTCTAGCTGCTAGTCTCTTCCAGTTTTCTTTTGGTAAATTGGCTCCTAATATTTCCCTTCGTTAGCTGCAGGATAGCTACCTTTCAGAAGGCTTTGACAGCCCCATGTCTGGTTGAAGTCTATATTACTGTACTTTAATAGAGCTGGCTTTCACTTGCGACTTGAAGGGCTTAAGGCACCTCTGTGGAAACTAAATCTAAGGTCTGGCAAGGGCTTTTTGTTCCGTATTTTCTGTGGTAATAGTCAGCTATAAACTATACTGCTTACAACCTTTAAGTTCAAATACAGCTTTCTGTAAGTGATAGTATATTTCATTATACATAACTTTCAAGGTAAACCTAGATCAGTTGAAACAGTTGACCCATTATTTTAGACTCCCACAAAACACATTAAAAAGCCGCCCACTTAAAAGTGATCAAAGGGAGGTGCTGGGGTGGCTCGGTTGGTTAAGCTTCCAACGTCCGCTCAGGTCATGATCCCAGGGG